GTGAACTCTGTCTCTACAAAAAAAAAAAAAAAAAATAGCCCAGCATTGTGGTGGGTGCCTGTAGTCCCAGCTACTCAGGAGGCTAAGGCAAGAGAATCACCTAAGCCCAAGTGATGGAGGTTTCTGTGAGCTGTGACGCCATGGTACTCTACCAAGGGCAACAAAATGAGACTCTATCTCTAAAAAAAAGAATAGTCATTGCTGGCTTGGCACCCACACCAGTTATGACAGCGGCCACATACACTGAGGCTGGCGGGTTGACCATGGCAAGGGCCAGCTAAACAACAATGGCAACTGCAACAACAACAACAACAACAAAATAGCCAGGTATTATGGCAGGCACCTGTAATCCCAGCTACTTGGGAGGCTGAGGCAAGAGAATTGCTTAATCCGGGAGTTGGAGGTTTCTGTGAGCTGTGACTCGAGGGCACTCTACCCAGGGCGACAGCTTGAGACTCTGTCTCAAAAAAAAAAAAAAAAAAAAGACTTAACAGAGTAACACTACAAAAATTCTAAGTTCTAGAAGTTTCATCTTTCTCAGAGACATTACTACCTTGATGTTTCATAAACACAACACTACCTTTCATCAAGTTTAATTTACTATGGCTTTAGTGGAATGATAATCATTTTTTTCCAAATCTCTAATTAAACATTCCCTAAGCCCTTACAAGATGAGTCAAGCTGGGCTTGGTGGCATAAGCTTGTATCCTAGCTACCCAGGAGGGCTGAAGTGCTTGAGCCCAGGAGCTCAAAGCTGCAGTGTAATATAACTGCACTTAAGAATGGCCACTGCTGGGGCAGCACTTGCGGCTCAGTCAGAAGGGCACCGGCCCCATATACCAACGATGGTGGGTTCAAACCCAGCCCCAGCCAAGCTGCAACAAAAAATAGCCCAGGGCTCGGCGCCTGTGGCTCAAGTGGCTAAGGCGCCAGCTACCTACACCTAAGGTGGCAGGTTCAAATCCAGCCCGGGCCTGCCAAACAACAATGATGGCTGCAACCAAAAAATAGCCAGGCATTGTGGCGGGCGCCTGTGG